GCTTTAAGAACAGATAGATGCTGTTAAGTTCTTAGTCTTGTGTGGGAACTGAAGATACTTTAATGAAAATCCAAAACAAAACCAGAGCAGAGGCAGGCAGGTGAGGCAGGGAGCTGGCTGGCAGGGTGTAGTCTTCTGCAGAATAGCTCAGGAGAATCTGGACTGCAGCAGCATGCAGAGTGAGAGCAATGAATATTCTGGCAACTGGCAGGAGTGAAGACCAGGTTAAACACTTAAGGTAGGGGATATGGCAGGTGAATTCAGGTGTGCCTCCTGCTGCCAACAGGAAGGAGCCAGCCACAAAACCCTCTGCCACACACCAAGCCTCTGGCGGACAACAGAAACAGAGAAAGGGGGAACAGAGAGGACAAAAAGAAAGCACAACATAGACAAACTAAGCCAAACCATAACAATTATCTGTATTATCTGTGAAACAGTCTGAAGTTCTCTGAGTAGTTGTGACAGATTTATTAAAGATTTACACCACCAAGACAATGTTTTTTTATTTTTATTCAACTCTCATTTCTCTTCTGTGTTCTGGTCTTATTTAACCTTGTTTCCCTGAAAGAATCCGTCTGGGAAGAATGCGTTATTCAAGACTTGTTTTCTGTGAAAACAGGAGCAATGTCCATCAGAGACTGGTTCCCATAAACAGTGATAAACATTAAAAGAACAGATTTTCATTTTTCAGTGTAACATCACCAAAACAGACCTGTTGAATATTAATGGGTGATATTTTAATAGTTTTGGTTATAATTTCTATCAGTTTCCAAATCATTGTTGTACTGTAATCTACAAACACTGTAACATTCCTACAAAGATGTTCAAGCAGTCACACAATCAGATGCAAGCCAACAGTTTAGCCAGATTATGCAAACTTCTTTCTGGATGTCAAACTGAAAGATTTGGCTTTATTGTCACAATACAGGGTTTACACAATGAAATGCAGTTGTAGGCTCCAAAGTGAAAGCAGCTAGTACTTCCTCATTGTATGAGAAAACTGCATACATTTACACTGAGTACAGTAGGTCAAAGTGGAAGCAGAAATAGATCTGTAAATTGTGATGGATGTTTACAACAGATAGGTTGTAAACACAGTAGTCGTTTGTGTCTGATGTTTCATGACCTTTGAACTATGTCCAAATGAATGAAAATTAGATGCCTGTGGTAATAAATCAGAATGGTCTTGTAAAGGATCAGCTCAGTCATCAGCACATTAGGTCACACTCTTACAGGTTAGCAGAGCATTGTGGGGAGAATCTGTGACCAAGGTCTGTTAGGATTTGGTCCTGGGTCCAATCTGGACAATCTCCGATTAGGGAGACAGTGGCTTTAGGCAGCCTCATCAGAAATGTATATATGGATCCAATCCTGCCAAAACCTTTCATTTCACGCTTAAGTCTCCATGCATAATCTTGTACTGTGTACTCTGTTGTCACCTGTCGACTGAGTGTGAACACAGAGTCTCCTCTAACCACAGCAGTGAACAGAGAGCCTTTACAGTTCCCATACTGACCCGACATGGCTGTCCACTGGCCTGAGCTCAGGTTGTAGCAGTCCATTACACACAGTAAGAAGTCATCACGGGGTCCATTGCGCATCACATACAGATTATCCTTGTGGGCCACCATATAAAGACCATAACTGTGTTGTCGGATGAGTGTGGTGACGAGAAGCCACAGGTCCTGTTCAGGCACATACTCATGTATTTCTGTGGCCCCCTTACCTTTCCAGAGACATATAAAGATCCTGTTTGTGGCTATAGCAGACACCACCGAAGCTGCAGGGCAGGGTAGGGGGGAGACAAAGCTCCAGCTTTGATTAGACACTCTGTATCTCTCCACAGATGACAGGGTCTTCATGTTGTACTCGCCTCCTACAGTGTAGAGGCAGCCCTCGTGACCTATCAGAGTCAAGTTGTAGCGTAGCTGATGGGGGCCACAGATGGTGGACCATGTGTTAGCTGCAGGGTTGTAACAGAAACCATCCTCTACCACCTTCTTGCTTACGTCATGTACTCCTCCAATGATGTAAAGTATGTTGTCCAGGACGGCCACTCCTGCCATGGTAGTGCTTGTGCTCACTGGCAGATGTGTCAGGACCTTCCACTCTCCATTGTCCTCATCCAGGTGACAGACTGTTCTCTGGAGATCCTGCAGCAGATCAGTTGAGGGTGAGTGGCTGCACACTGCCATATAGCTACTCGGGAGAAGAGACTCAATGTACTCTACCAGCTTTTTGGGTAAGGTGTGAACATCCTCCTTCAGGTCAGTGTACATATCTCTGATGAATAAGGCAGAACTGTGGGAGAGCTCCCACACACCGTAGGTGGTAGCTGTGTGGTACATGAGCAGGCAGTTTTCAGAATTGACAATATTGATCAAGTGCCTGGTGAGAGCTGGCACCTGCAGAAAAGCAGTACACTCGATGGCTTCCACAATCTGATCACTGTTCAGTACAGGTCGTTCCCCGTTCAAGACCTGTAGCATAACCAGAAAGCCTAGAACCCCAACACATCGCAGGTGGATCTCTTCCTGTTGGCTCTCTTTCATTCCTGACTGGAACAATGCTCTGAAGTACTCACAGCTCTCAGCCAGAACGGTTTTATCCACAATGAAAGAGCTGTGATCGATGTAGACCCTTAGGCTGTGCAGTGGCTTACAGAGTTCTGGCTGCTGGATGAAGTGTGGACAGCTGCTGGACTCCATCACCTCCTCATCTGCATGACATCCCAGCTAGACTGCTCACAAGTGTTTGATCCACACGTTGATCTTCCAGGGTGTTTTACCACATACTGCCAATGAGAATGAATGCCCCGATCCAGAGCAGATGCTAGCTGATACGCTACTCTCTACTTATTTTCACAGCTCTGAGAACAGACTCTATACATAGCAGGCGGACGTGTGACACAGTTCAAGTACATTATGATGACATGCAGCCAGACGAGAAAGAGGAGCCGGATAATGGTAGGGTAGCTGTGAATGTGCAGATGATTCATGCTTGCTTTTTGTTTATGGCTGACAGTTGGGTAACAGCTGAAAGTTTGTCCTTGAGCAGCAGGAGCAGTCACACTGTAACAATAGTTTGTTCCCCTGGGTCACATATTGTGCATGCCACTATTTCAACAGCATTGTTGGGCAGTAAGGCATTACTAGTAATAATATTACAGTAATAATATTACTTTCTGCAGTAACTAGTAGTGTGACTAATGATACATTTCAGTAATAATAGTACGATCTTACTTTAGTTGGCACCCCCTATTGATTTGAAATCCAACAACCCAATCATATCCTTTTGTTTCATCATGGAGGAAAGCTTGGAAGATGTAAACGCTTACATTCAGTAGCTGGAAATATTCAATTTCTTTGATTTTAATAAACCAAGCTGGTCTGAAAAAAGTCTGGAATTTGGGGAGAAGGTGTACAATTATCAACTTTGTGGGTAGTAGCAGAAAAGTAATATAAATAGTGTAACTGTTGGCAGGAATATTGGGGAAAAACGAATTAGTTTGTGTTCTGTTTTATAAGTACAGTCCATTTACCATGTATACATTGCTCTCAGGAAAATACACAATGAACAATGTGAAAATATTTATAATACATTTAATAGCAGCCTACTCTCAGGTCTTGAACGTCTCATCATTATGGAGAGAGATATGTCTCAATATATGCAAACACCGCAATCCACGCGCATGATATAATTTGCAAACGCAAAGTCAACATTCGTGACTTGTAAATTTAATTTGCAAGCGCAAAGTCAAAATTCGTGACTTGTAAATTGGTATTTGCACAAAGGGGTAATATTTCAATAACAATACAAGTGGTGATGTACTAGTGGAAGAGCGAGGAAGTGTGTAAGACAGCAATCTGCTTCCTGTCCCAACTCTGCATTGTCAGGATTAGAAATAAAGCTTTGCCATATTCCTGGATAAGAGATCGCTCCATCCAAAGTGGATGGATGCCGTCTCTCTCCTAATCAGACCAGGTTTTCCCCAGAAAAGGCTGCCAGTTATCAATGAAGCCCGAGTTGTTTTCTGGACCACCACGACACAGCAGCGTGGAATGACGACATGCGGCTAACCACTGGTCACATTGGGCAGGGGTCCAGAGAAAACTTAGGTGTCCGACATGTGTTTGGCAAATCTACACACCGGTTTGATTGATGCCATCAGGACCACATCATCCGCAAAAGCAGCGATGCAATCCTCAGCCCACCAAACTGCAACAACTCCCCCCACGACTACGCCCTCGATATCCTGGTCCATGAAAGTTACAAACAGGATTGTGACAAAGCGAATCTGGACACATACTCTCACTTTGGAAATACAGGGATTGGAAGGCCCTGAGAGTGCACCCTTACCCATACTCCCGCAGCACTTCCCACAGGATATCCTGGGGAACCCAGTCATATGCCTCTCCAAAT